GAAAATAAACACAAACCCCCCCAAACCCTCCCACCCTCTCCTCACCAGAGAAGCAGCCTTTTCAGTACTTATTTTTATCTCAAAGCATCAATTTTAGAGCCTCTCAACCTTCTGAGACTGCTCCCCAAGAATCTAAAAACAAGCTCACCACTACTCATGGAAATCTACACAGCATTTAATCCTGTTTTTCTGCATACATCCTAATTCTATCCAAGTAAGGAGGAGGGTAAAGGTCTTAGCAATTATGCGAAGCCTTGTTTTGTTTGCAGGCTGTCTCTGATGGCATGATAAACTTCTTGCTGCTCTTGCTTAAGATGCACCAAGAAGACAATAGCTCAGCAAAGCAAACAACTTCTCCTGTGACCAGTGATAAAAAGAGGAAACCAGTGGTGCCTCAGGGGAGTACTCCTAAAGGGATTTTATAACACAGAAGTAAGACTAGCTCCTGTAGAAATATCCCAAATACTTTGATACAAATAGCTCAGAGACCAGGAGGCAGAGCAGAAAAGAACAAGCTCTGCTGATTATCTTTGACCCTCAGAAGGTGTTTGGCAGCTTGAACCTATGGTACTGCAACTATACCATAATCAGCAACCGGACTGCAACATAGACATACCATAAAGTCAAAGGCAGATGTTAAGCAGTTGCACTTAGAAGACCATTAATTATGGAATTAAATGTATCCTTAAGCACCAGAATACTTGGCAATTTAAGTTTAAATAAGCAGTAATTAAACTACAATTAGTGTGGTTACACACAGGTTATCATTGTGATTTATATACATAGTACAGCTTTCATGTGGGGTGAAACCTACACAAATAATTCCCTAGTAAAAAAGAAAAGTGTATGCTAAACGAAATTAATTACTTTGTTCAGAGACTGTACTTCTAAAGAGTCAACTCTAAATGGAAACCCAACATGAAAGGTATTAACAAGCTTGGATAACTGGTGCTACAATAGTAAAATACCGTTAATTATTAAATCTTTCGAACACTTTGCATATAGGTGTTAGTAATATATGGTTTAAACAAATAAATCTTTAGAAGTTGGATTAAAATTCACTCCACACTACACAATCTAATTTCTAGTCAGCTACCATTACCGGGAGTTATTGTGCCTATGTTTTTCAAGAATCAACAGCAAAACCAACCAACACCACTGTGTTTTCTAGCATCCTGAATTGTATAAATATTATAATCCTGAAATGTTATCATATAATTTGTCTGCAAAGTTCTCTAGTACATTTTGGTTTCATTTGCAGCTAGACACCTTGTAGGTGTCCTACTAATGGAAAGGAATTATAAGGCATTCACAAACATGTAGATGCCTACGTGGATATGTGATTTAAATCACAACAAAGAAAATCACATGATTACATTTCTTTGTCCCTTCATCTACTAACGCTGAGTTTTTTCCTGAAGATTACTCATCGGGAAACTACAGACCTTTGTATATGAAAACTTAAAAAGGGCCCTATCATTCCTTAAAAAATCTTCTTAGAGGGCTTTTCTTGATTTTGTTCAGTGAGGTCAGCCAGCTTCAGAAAACTCCTGGGAGGAAGTCTTGTAGGTTTTGGAAGTAATGTGAGATTTTTGTCAGAATAGCAGCTTAGGAAATAGACCTGGTGCTAGACACCTGGTCAGATGGGTCCTCTGCTTTCTCCCACCAGACATGCAGTCCTCTGAGCTCTCACCTAACTTGGAGGCACATTCTCATAAGATCCACATACACCCTCTCTCCTCTTCCTGCCCTTCTCCCAGTGGCTTGCAGCTAACTTCCTGCATCCCCCCCCAAACAGACTCTGTGAAGAAAAAGCATGAAAACAGGTTTGGTTTGGGGGTTTTGGGGTTGTTTTTTTTTAAGAGTTCAGAAACAATGAGAAATTGCAAGTGTCACTGGCTGTAGTGAGGAAATAACATCACATTTCTGAGAGGATGGAGGCAACCGAAATGGAGACGACTGACCATAAGCTGTCAAAAGGGAGACAGAGCTTCCTAAAGAATAAATTACTTCATCTACAGTGAATCCAGTGAAGCTACACTATTTTACACTGATTCCTTGGACTGCCATGGATATTACTATAGTATAAGACATTTTGGCACATCAGCTAAATTACAAGACCTAACCTGGTATTATTTCAGACTGTATGCAGCAAATACAAAGAAAATGACTTACTATATGCCACAGTGAAAGAAAGATTGTGTAAAAATTTCTGTATTTCCAGAGGCAAAGAGAGCACATGGAATCCATTACAGACAGACCCAGGTGTCTTATTATATTATCAGCTGATGCATGGTAATTTGCTAAACTGCAGTACCCCATCCAAGCACATAAGGATTCACCTACAAATAAGGGTGAACAGTCCAGATGGCAGGTCTCGAGGAGAAAGTGGACTAGAAAGGTTATCTTTCTATTTCTATGGCCAAATACCCATATTATTCAGACATCAGTTAGATGTATCATACTGACAGAAATCTGATGCAATTATTACTAATATCAATAACATTTAAATCTGTCAGAGCTTGACTGTATTTTTATTAACATGTTAATTTAGCTTAGATTTACTAGTAAGAGTCAGGGCTGCTTCTATTAAAATTCCCCTGTCCACATTAGCATTTTGGTTCAGAGCTAGAGTGAGGCTTTGAAGCACAATACTCATCTTTACTGACTGCTGGTTCACAGAGCAGTTCTGTTGCATAAAAACCGGACTCCTTTCAGAAGAAAGGAAATTAGAAGCTCCTCTACTAATTTACTCCAAACCCAGATGGGGACATTATGGTCCAGCCTTCAGCATGAGTGACACAGTCACACATTCACCCAGTGTCTGCAAAATGTGCACCATACAGCGCTCCCAAACCACCCAACACGCTCACAAAACCCTCCAGTAGATCCCATGTTACAAACTGCCCAGACGTCGGCCACGAATTTGTCTGTGGGATACCCTACTCTTCTCCCACCATCCACTGAGGCTAACCACACAGACTGCTCCTCATTATTTCACTCAAGATAAAAAGGCTTCTTGACATCACTGGAGGGCATCCTCAACACTGGCATCAAATCAGTAACGTGGGGTCCACAGTCTTGCAGTAAGGTCACAGAATCATGGAATAACTCAAGTTGGAAGGGACGCATAGGGATCATGAAGTCCAACTCCCTGCTCCTCGCAGGACTACCTAAAACTACACCATATGACTAAAAGCGTTGTCCAAACACTCCTTGAATTCTGACAGGCAACAAAATACACATTGTCCTTTCACCCTGTGAGATATAAAGGTATGGTTAAACCAAGCTTGGACTCCATGATCAGGATACAGCCTCATGCTCCAGAGAGGCAGGTAGTATGCAGCTTCTCCCACAAACCTGAGGTGAACCTCAACTCTGCTAATATGCCTGCCATTCTGGAAAAGGTGCCAACATTCCCTCATCCAGTCCACAGCTAATTTTAGGAGATCATGAGTCCGCCCAGTAAAGTTTGCTGACATGTCCTTACCCTGAATGCTCCCCAGGAAGCCCCAACAATGCAGCTGTAGCAAATCCTGTCCACCTTGGGCAGAGCACTGGATGCTAACGTGGACCCTGCCAACACCCCCTACACAACCTAGGAACACACGATCGGAGGCGAGAGGAAATGAATGAGTGTGCTCTTTTTGGTCTGCAAGTATTGCACCCGCTGCCAGGTCTTCTATGTTCCAAGGACACGATGGTCCTGGCACTTCAAACTCATCTCTTGGACCAAGACTTTCTTTCAATTGTGGGTGAAGCAATCACAGAGGCAAAGACTCCCGAAAGTTCTTCAGCTTGTTTTTTCCTTAGAGGAAAAAAAGTTTAAAAGAACAGCTTCAGTTCACTTGAGACATCCTCACAGATCAGCTGCTGCAGCCACAGAAAAGTCCACTATAACCCCCTAGAGTACCTTGCAGTGGATCTTGCCAAACTTGTAATAAGAATATGATGGGGCACCAAACACGTGGTCACCCTAAACAGCACATGCAGGAACAGAAACAAGGCTCTGTCACGTGTGACGCTGGTAGTCGGGGTATGATGTAGGAATTAAGATGCTATCACCCCCTGGAACAACACTGTGGAATGACAACATTGTACTTCCTAGCAAGGTCTGCAGTCAAAGAACCCTCATCATTGGGACAGCTTTTCTTCAGAAAGCTTCAAACCATAAGTATAGTGACAACGTTCAGCACAGGGGACCAAATAAAATCCAAACCAAACTTTCCAAACTGCAAGTGAAGATGAGAGAAGCCTCAATAACATCTTTGATCTACTGGTCTGCTCTTATTAAACCAGATTACTTCTGGTAGAGACATAGACTGTATTCTCATGGGAAGAAGGAGAAAAACTTGAAATACTATACAACAGCAAATAACTGTATAATCTGTAAACTTTCCTACAGAAAAGCAGCACCCTAAGGAACTGTCAAGTGAAATTCTCCCTAAATCTTTAGGATGTAATCAGAATCCCATTCCTACAATAGCTACTGTTACATTTACGATTACTACTGGACAGAACAAATGGATATTGCGTTCAAACTGAAGACTCAAACTGAGGATTCAAAGGATTCTGCTGGTTCTAAAGCAACAAATATTGCTGATCTAAATCAAACGTGAAGACTCTATTGCAATAAAATCTATTGGCATTCAATTCCAGCATCCCTAGTGAACTGAAAGAACGAGTGAATTTATTATAGAGAAACAGAGGTAATTGACTGAAATCAGCGGCAAAAATTCTAAATTGTTTCAATACAATTATTTCACCCACATTTAAAGCATGTGTGTTTGTGCATACATTTCATACACTTCTATAAATATATGTAAACATATAAACTCAGCCATATATTTCTAAAAACAAACATTTAGCATCATCTACAATATAATTAAGAAAAAGATCAACAAAACATACTGAAAGATACTTTTATTTAAATTCAAAATTATGATAAAGAACCAGGTGACTATTATGAGAAACAAAATTTCATAAAAACTAAAACATACCTGATAAAAATTGGGCCAGAAAGTGCTAATTGCCAGTTCTGCTCTGTTCCAAGTAGCAGTGATAGATGTGTTCCAGACCGGGTTACCAATTGGACCATCATTAACTTTCACATATATATTCAAAGTGCCAGGGCTAGATCCACTCTTGCTTGAAACATAATAGTGGAAATCAATACAATGTGTATCATTTTCTTTCAGATGGGGCAGCAGGAGGTGAGCTTTCTGTCCCGCAAATCTCCCCGATGTATTCACCAACATGAAAGAACCTGCAAAACAAAGTCACTAGTTCAATTTCTTCTTTATTTTACTTTACTGTCCCTAATATGGTGATCTGTAATTAAAGCGTCATTAAAAAAAATCATTTTACTTTGCTTTTACTAACTTAACAGTAATTTGTATTTGGTAGGTATTTCATCTCAAATGACTTTCAAGAACCTCAAGATTCTTTTCCAAAGCTAATAAATATTAGAATCCTCATTTTACAGCTGGAGAAAGACAGAAACAAACAAAAAAAAAACCACTGAAGTGATCTGCACTGTGCTGAATCTACATATGTTAGAAGAGAATCAACCGCAGGTCCCAACTACCCAAGCATTTCTATATGCAGAATCTGCATTGGGTTTGCGTGGCAAGGTTTTGCTAGCAGCGGGGCTACAGGGGTGGCTTCTGTGAAAAGCTGCTAGAAGCTGCCCCTATATCCCATAGAGCCAATGCCAGCCAGCTCCAAGATGCACCCGCTGCTGGCCAAGGCCGAGCCCAGAAGCGACGGTGGTAGCACCTCAGGGATAACATATTTAGATAGAGTGGCTTTGGTGGGCACCTGGTGTCCAGACAGGGTCAACCCATCACAAGAGTCACAACGAAATCAAGGAGAATTATATGTGCTCAGATGGTGGGATGCAGTAGATTATGCTGATGGAGTCTAAAATGCTCTTGATTCCTTAGCCTTACTCTAGTTAATCACCAGCTACGCCCTTGACTGATTCAGTGTGACAATTGTCTCCTGGCCTCAAGAGCTGAGAAAAGAAGGAACAAATGAAAATACCCAGCAAACTGGTAAGCTTTACAGGAGTGGGAAAAAAAAAAAAAGGAGAGGGGGGTGAATTTTACACTATGGTCCCAACTTAAACAACAAACAAGAAATGTAAAGGTATAGTTCAAATAAAGTTACGTACAAACAACCCTCACATAAACAGCCACTCAATTTATACTCTATTTTTCAGTGCCTATTAATTCATTGACGTGTAGCTTCAAATAATCAAATTACAGAATAGATGTGCAACTAAAGAATCTGTATGACTGTACAGACATTACGTTAGAAAAATACAACTTGATTTTCAAGATATTTCTGGGTTGAACAAGCCCAAAGGAAAGAATTCCATTGATACATATACTATGATATCATAGAAGGAAATAAAATTCAACACAATGTCTACTTTGGAAAGAAAACATATCAGTAAAATACATGAGGTAACTTAAACCCTGCATTCTTCATAAAAGTCGAGAAATGGATATGTTATAGGTGCATGCTATAAATGCACAGCTAAGTGCTCATAAAAATGTAAGCACACACATTTCTCAAACAGTTATTAGAAAACAATTTTAATTTTTTTTTCTTTTTTTTTTTTTACTTTGATGGGTGGTGATACCTTGGAATTTCAATGACATAGCAACCTCCTAAGTTGTTCCTTGAAGTGGAATGTAAGTGTTTAGAGAATCTTGGTCCAGAGTGCACCTTTATCTTAAATAGGTTTAACTATTCAATAATACAGTTCTGCAGTTACTTTAAATTATTTATCAAGCATAACTTCTCATTAATTTTCATTCGAGACAAAATAACTGAGTTTGTAAAGCTGACAAAAATGGAAATTAATTATGATACAAAGAGATCTGAATGTTTTAGTTCCTAAAAGGCATTACTCCCTACTACATTTACAGACTGTTAGTTACTGTGACATATTGGGACAAATCCTTATTCATTAGTTAATGCAAGTAGAAGTCACTGAACGTTGTTTTCCATACTCTCCTAGAGAAAACCTTTAATTTTTAATTTAGCAGAAGGAAAGGGGGCAAGAATGCAATACTCTCATGCTTTTCCATGCAAGGAAATGGTTTCTACAAGTTTCTGATTACACTATACTCAAATCAAGAGCACGCGTATCCGCAACACTTAATTTCTTGCTGTGTTTCAGTAATCTAAAATGTAGGAAGGCCATAATCAGGAGAAAAAAGGACACAAACCCCACCCCCTAGTCTAGATGAGGCAGCCAAGAGGTGGTAACCTTGCTCCTAACCTATTAGCACAAGCACAGGAAGAAATACTCTTTATTACTACTTTTCACATGTGCTCACCCCATTTCAGACTGTCGCAACAGGCAACCATTTTCATACAGAATGCCCTGCGTGATTTTGACTTGTAACACAAACATCTTCAAATACTGCAATGCAGAAAGAATCAAATTTACTTCCACAAAGACATAGTAAGGAGAAGACTCATGTCTTTATCTTATACAGAAGAGAGTAACCAAGTTAGTAGTCTTTGGTCTTTCCAATATTTTCCTTGGTAACCAACTTTAGGATGGTTCCTAAGATGTTTGTTGTCTGGGGTTGATCAAAGTATAAATTTCCCATGTGTTGGAATTTCTGATCCTGTTGCTCAGGGATTAACTAGGATGCTGGAGGGTGAAGAATGAATAGACACCCAGGTAGAACAACAATTAGTCTTGCTATATTACTTGTAACACATTTCCCCATTTTTGTAACACAATAAAGGGTTAAAAATAAAACCCACTAAAATGTATTCGGGTGCAAAAAACGAAGCAAATAAATTTTGAATTTAGCCACATGGATCTTTGCTTAAAAAAGGCAAGAAAGAAACCAATATTCCTTCCATCACTTAGGACATGCCCTGCTGTTCAACTTGTTCATTTAAATTTAAAAAGTAAACCCCTTAAAATAGTTATAATTTGCTAAGTTATCAAATCAACACTTAAAGCATTCATAAGTTTGCTAAAAATTAACTGGCAAGCTTTTTTAAATCTTACCACTGAGAAATGTCCATCTTTTCTTGCCACCTTAAAATTTCAAACCAGTATCTCCCTGATTACCTAACCAATTTTATATTCAGTGCTGCTCAGAATCCTACAGTCCTTGACAGGATTGTATTTTTAAGAACTATTTAACTTACAGCATCTGATTAATGTAGTATGCATTGCACAACTAAGCCATGTGAAAAATTACCAGTGGCTTAAGAAAAGGAATATAGTCAGCCTATTTTGAAAATCTGTCTGTAACTCCTTTGTTGAAAGTGCAAACGTGCAGAGGAATGTCACTGTAAACATAATAAATCCTATTTTCCTTTTTGTAAGAAAAGAGAATCTTTAAAGAGAACTAAACTAAGCAGCAGTATGCCATTCAGATGTTTCATTTTTTTCTGCGAGAAAGTATCTGGTAAGCTCTTCTTAGCTCATGAGGCATGGAGTAGGATGTAAAGGCATCCTTTTAATTGTTTGACTAAACTATCGTCTGAATCTCAGGAAATAAGACCCCTTGCAGTGCCATGACAGGTAAACTACCTAGGCTTTTTGGGACAATTTGATTTCCCACTTGCGAAGGTCTCACCACTGAACGCTTTTGGAAGCTGAAGTTTCTTCTGTTCCAGCATACCCAGAGCAGCACCTTCACTCATACAACTTTGTTAAAAGTTGAAAACCAAAAGGACATTCAGGCGTCTAGTGTGACCTTCTAAACCCAGAGTTGATTAAGTAACATGTAATAGCTTGTTGTATCAAACATCGTAACTTATATTCTAGCCTAAACATATCCTCGAGACAGCATTTAAGGAAAACTTTCCTAAAGCCAGTAGGCATCTAGATGATGGATTCCGGAACAGCTGACTGTAAGAGCCTGGTTTCAGAAGAGAACAGACGTCTTTGCACCAGGCACAGGCCATGGCTTGTGTGCATGAGAATGAAATCCCGAAGTCCCTGTACATTAAGCTATCTAAAATCAGCCTGATTAATACAGAGCCATTTCAAGCTAGCCAATAAAGAAAAAAACACCTATAGATACATCTGCAACATTACTCATCTTTCAAATTGCATGCTTTGCTGGAGGTACAGGAAAGTGCTCTGCCTGCCTAGAATAGCTAGCACTGCTTTTCTGAAGATAAATGCTTAGGTCTCTCCTTTCAGTGGGCCAGATGAGCATGAAATGTGCACACAAGGAGGTCTCAGGTACACACAACCACCAGCACGTGGGCAAATCTGAAGTTCAGAAGTAAGCCATTGATGTTCTGAAGGTTTGATTAAGGTTAAGCAAGAAGAAAACATGGATAAAAAAAAAAAACTTCATGGAAGCCCCCAGTCAGTGCGTTAACCCTTATTAGCCCTCATCTTTGAAAGGCTGCCATCAGGAATTCAATTATCTTGTTTGACAGCATCTGTTTTTCCAGGCATGTGAATTCTGGTAAAGATCAACTCAGCTTCTACACCTAGTTTTAACTATGCATCTTCCCACAGAAGAAAAACCTTAATATATATTAAAATGAAAAGTCATAATCATTAAACAGAAATCATTATATATATTTTACTTAAAGCCATACAGTGTGCATAAAAAAAGAAAAAAGTCAATTCTTTCTTACAATGTTTTTATTTTTCAAATCTAGTCAACTTATCTTCAGTGTTAAGTCATGTAGAAATTTTCTCTTTCAACTTTTACTATTTTCATCTATTAAACAGAGTGCTGAAACAATACTATGCCAGATGGTTATATAAATTTAAAGCATGTGGATAAACTCAATACACAAATAAACACTTAATTTTGAAAAAAAAAAAACCAAAAAAACAAGCCATAACGCCCCCCCCAAACCACGGCATACTTTCTTACAGTGTATCAATTCTCCAGAATAGTTGATCACGTATTTGTGCACACGACAAATACATACAAAAAATGACTGCAACTATTCACTGGTATATCTACTAGGAAATAGTTATCTGCCAGGAAACAAGGATTCAACATGAAAACATATACAATTATAATCAATTCAGTACTCATGCATAAGAAGAGATTACAAGTGCACATATTACTATAAAAATTTTCCCTTTAAAGTGATTAATTTCCCTAGATGTACTTTCATGCTTAAGCACATGGATGATGATAGTTTCCTCAGTCAAAAAGTTTAAATGGGATTTACTTGGGTCTAGTGCTTAGGTCTATGTTTAGGCGCTACATGCAATTTAACAGTTCAAAAGCACACACTGAAATC